ATACTGGAGTTAGCACTAACATTTTTTACGGAAGATGGAGTCAGAAAAGTAGCCAAACGTAAATGTCAACTTGGGTCCATTCTGAGATACATAGTGGAAAATCATAGTAGTGGGTCCATTCGGAAAACCAGATGACGATAGTTACACTGTAAGTAGCATTTTTTTATCTCCCGCTATTTAAAAGAAATAACAGTTACTTATAAACAGTTATTTAATTTGGTAAAAAGCACCAAATTAAAGAAAGCTGAGTTAAAGAAATATTTGTCTAAAAAGAAATGCTCAAATTTTATTTATCAGAGCTATGAGTCTTACTAACTTTTAAGTTAACACATTGGACATATTAACACATATTATTAATCTAAATTAATTAATTTGACCTTTGTTTTAGTTTTAATTTTGGAAAATTATAAACTTGTTGAAAATTTTGGCAGAATATAAACTATTTTTATAAGTTTATAGTTGCATACCATTTGAAATGCTTTGTTTTTGCTTGTGTTCTTGGCTTAATTTTTTTTTCCATTGAATCTGTGCTGCTTCTTTGCCAATGTTTCCACTGTAGAATCTCCATCTCGCAACCTTGCTTCTCGTGAGCGCATTTACAAAAATTATGGTGTAGCTGGGCCTGCCTCTGCTCTCTCATCTCTATCTCACAAACTGAAGGGTGGGTATACGTGCATTCATGGATGGGCCATTCTTAATGAACGTAGAAAGTGTCAGTAAAGAAGTTCACCTCAATCATTTTCATCTCACTCCATTTTTTTAAAATTAAAGTTTATCATTTTATTTAAAACTTTATCTGTTCAGAATAACTTGTGATGTACCTACTCAGTATTATAGATTATCTTCATTGCTATGCATGTTATATCTGTAGGTTAAATATTATTCTTATTTAATACTTTATAAAACTTAAATAAATAAAATCGGTATATAGAAAGAAAGAAATGCCTAATTTGGGGAGTTTTAAACATTATTATTAGGACAAGATGATATATGTGTAAGGCATAAGGCACATTATAATCTTTAACAATATAATAATATTATGTGACAGTTCTGTCTTAAACTTATTTTACTGTTATATAATGTAAAAATCATTTTACTATTTTAGTTTTTTATGAGAAACACTTTAATAGTTAAGGTTTTAGTTTAACTTAGTTATCAGAGCGTATATATATAAACCTACCTATTCTGTCTGGCATGAATCTTCTTTATAGTATTTTCTTAGTGACTTAGTTATAATACTTTAAACTTAGAAATGTTTAAACTGTTGACAATTGGAAAAATTTCACACAATTAAAAACTACACTTTTTGTCTTTTAAAATAGTATAGAAGCTATTTTTTTGTCTTAAAGTAATATTTAATTATACTTTAAAAATTTTGTATTTTGGGAAATTTTTATCAAAAAGTTTTGTAGTGATGGTTAATATAGTACATAAGTATTTCAAGTAATTTCTTTTTTCTTAGAAATGGGTAAAACAGTTATATATATATATATTTTTTGTATAATTGATAGTCATACCACCATAAATGAAATATATAAATAGTAAATATAAAGGATAATAAATAATATTGTGTGGCCTGTTCAATATAATGTATAGTATTGTTTATAGTAGCATATATTATCTTGTAACCTCATATTTATAATATATTATACATTTTATGGTATATTGTAGTATGGTATCATATAACCTGATAATTTCTGATTTGGGCATAAAAAAAGCCATGTGAATCATTTAGTGGATGAATTCTTAACATTTAAGATGGTTTATAACATTTAATTTGTTTTTAGTCCACTAAATTTCTGTCTTGTATTATTACTTTTTCAGAATTACTTTCAGGTTAGAAAATTTTTGCCTATTGTCACTTAAACTTACATATGAGAAATACTCATATTATTGTTAAACTAAGTTAAATGATAAATATGACAGTATTAAGTATGGTCTGAGGATTTTTAACAAAGTGTTTGTATTTATTAATATTTTGAACAGCCACAACATGACATTTTTAGTTATATTTAGTACATGCCACAAAATTTTTGAAACCCCAGTGAAGAAAATAAACGGAAATTAGTTAGCATATGGGCTTGTCTCACTTAACAGACTTAACATATTTTTTTTAAATATATGAAATATATTTTGAAAAAGTAAATTTTTCAAAAAGATTTAATTATGATTTAAGAAATACGTCTTAGGAAGAAATACTTCTACCATTATTTATGCATCTGAACTCTAACAGATACTTAGTTATCACCACTTACAGATCTTACGAAAATATTATTACTACTAGAGGTATAAAAATAAGGTATACAAATGCTTATGCTTTATTTTATAACAAACTTTTTTGCTCACATATGACAAGTGGTGTTCCTGGTATTGGATAGATCCATTGTTCAGCAGCCATTATGAGGAAATACCACCACTGTGAGTGCATACGCTCCAAGGATTAGATGTAGCATCAGTGTATATTCAACATCCCTTTGCATGCAACAGGTGAACAGGTCAGCCGTTAGGACACATCTGAGGTTGGAACACTTCCCATTATGTTAAAAATCCTAAAACAAGTTTTCCTTTTTTATAAATTAGAGAGAAAACCTCTTTCAGTTCACAAATTGATTTTTTGGAGAGAGGGGTACCAAATATAAAAAATTTACTACTTATCTAAGGGGCTGGCCAGTTACCTCAGTAAGTTACAGCATGATGTTGATCACACCATGATGTTTATCACACCAAGTTCAGGGTTCAATCCCTGTACCAGCCAGCTGCCAAGAAAAAAAAAAATTATCTAGATTCACTGTTATGTATGTTCTGAAATAAATGTGATGATGAAGGAGATAAATATGTTTCCAGCTCTCATATTAATAACAACAAGCTAATACACCTAACATCACATACTTGAAATTAGTGGCCAGGGCTAAGCTGATGATTAAGTCTACCGTATGTAATTTATGCATTTATAAAATTTTCTATATACTATTACTATGTCAGTAAGATGAAATGGGAAGCTTTTGAACAATTTGAGAATACTTATTTACCAAGATCACATCTGTTTATCTCTGCTCTCCCAAGACAGCATCAACATTTAGAATTCTTTTCTATTTTGTGATTTTTTTCACCAACTTTCCCCAAATGTAGTCTAATCTCTTATATTGCATTTATAAAAGAGCACATATGTAATAAAGAAAATTCATGATGGAATAATAAAGCGTTGTGAGAAACTTGAAGAGCATTATGTTCTGTATAGTTACTTTTATTTATCCCAAGAATGAGAATAATTATCCTAAACATTGTATGTTGCACAATTAAAATAATATTCAGTTCATCAGTGTGCTCTAAATAGTCTATTTGCCATGTGGTGTTATTTTACTATAGGATTATACTTGCACTTGTCTAACCTTTACGCAACGACTACTGTTATCTCTGCCCTGTGGCCTTGGGAGCCATAATTATAAAAAGTAGATTCTCAGAGATTGTGAAGATTTGGGAATAGCAGAAGAAAAAAAATTAAGAAAGTAGGAATTTATTACTCATTCAGCAAATATCTATTGAGCCCCTATAGTGTATTCCAGGACCAGTTTTTGACATTACATCAGTGAAGAGTAACAGACAAAAATATCTGCTCCTGAGGACCTTCCATGCAGAGGGTAGATTCTACAATATTACTGTCCTGACCTATAGATAATTAGACTGTGACTGCAAGTACTTAAAACACATGCACGCATGCAAGCAAGCAAAGATAATTTTGTCGCTCCATTATCGAAATTTGTTCACATTCCTTTTTCTTAAGAAAGAAAAACAAAGAAAACCTACAATTATAACCATTTACAAATTCATCTCAATTTTCTAGGAACTCTCTTTCAAAAAATATAAATACTTCTAGCAAAATTCATGGATTTTCAGTTTTTCATATCACTAGATTCATTTCAGTCAATTGCTTTCCTCCTGAAAACTAATTAATATCACTTGCACTAAGAGTAGGAGTTTTTAGTTTAAGGAGGAAAGATAATGCTGGAGCTTGTACCAATTACTGGAGGATAACAACAGCCTGGCTCTAATGCCTCAAAGGAAAGCATAAAATAGTAGGAAGAAGGGAGGCTGAATGAAGGCCGGGATGCTGAAAATAAATGGTATCCATGTAGAAATATCTAGTGCTTTGCCTTAGATAGGAAAGATTATTTTTCTTTTTATCCTCTTTTTCTGTCATTCTCCTAACACCTTGTTTTGAGGATCCACAATTTGGACTTGTGCTTCTCATTCTGAGGATGCTGCTGTTTCTCTTGTTTCCAAGGGGACACAAGCTCTGAGTTTTAACCAGCTAAGCTTACTGAACTTTTGGAATACAACTTTTTTATAAGTAATAGACCATCTGACTTACATGTAATTAAATAATAGTGTTACGGTATTTATAGATTAATTATAAATTATTCTAATCCAATCATTAAAATAGGCTGTCTCCTGAGCACCTCTTTATTAACCTAATTGTATTTATTTGTACATGTGAAAATGATAAATGCATCTATGTATATGTTCAATTTCCTAATTCAACAAGACGTTTGCCATTGCCCTAAGTATGTGAGGTCTCACTGTACTGGAAATTTAGCTCAACTGCTTTATATTTGAAATACATACGTTTTCATAATTTATTATTCCAAAAAAAATAATTGTGCTTCTTCCTCTGTCTAGTTCCTCCCTGAATTTAAATTCTGATTAGTTATTTTGCTAGAGCTGAGGTTCAGATATCATTGCTATGTCATATAGTGCATAGGTACTATTTATTCAGTCTGTTTTGCATCCATGAAAATAGTTTTTAGTGGTAATAGTTGTATAATAGTATAGTAGAAATTTTATGAGAAATGTTTCCCCTAATTTATCTTATTCTTCAAGTATTTTTGTGTACGACAAGCAATGTAAATTTTGTAGTTATGTTTTATTTTAGTGTTTAGTGGCTGAATTATCAGTAAGTTATAATTTTATTAACAAGTTTTACTATGAAATGGACCATACAGGTGACCGAGGAAGTATCTCAACATCTTCTAGACCAGTCTCTACATCAGGAAAATCAGAACTGTCTTCTAAGCACAGCAGATCACTTAAACCTGATGGACGTATGAGCCGGATGACTGCTGATCAGAAGAAGCCAAGGGGTACAGAAGGTTTATCTGCTAGTGAATCCCTAATGTTAAAATCTGATGCTGCAAAGTTGAGATCAGATTCCCATAGTAGGTCATTGTCGCCCAACCATAACACCTTGCAGACACTAAAATCTGATGGGAGGATGTCTTCTAGCCTCAGAGCTGAATCCCCAGGACCAGGTTCACGGTCATCATCTCCTAAGCCAAAGACTCTCCCAGCCAATAGGTCTAGCCCATCTGGTGCTAGTTCTCCACGCTCCTCCTCACCACATGATAAAAACCTACCTCAGAAAAGCACTGCTCCTGTTAAGACAAAACTTGATCCCCCTCGGGAACGTTCCAAATCAGACTCTTACACACTTGATCCAGATACCCTCCGCAAGAAGAAAGTGCCCCTCACAGAACCATTACGAGGACGATCAACATCACCAAAACCAAAATCAGTACCAAAGGATCCCAAAGATTCCCCTGGCTCTGAAAATAGAGCTCCCTCTCCCCATGTGGTACAGGAAAACCTTCACAGTGAGGTGGTTGAAGTCTGCACCTCAAGTACTTTAAAAACAAATAGTCTAACAGACAGTACCTGTGATGAAAGCAGTGAATTTAAGAGTGTGGATGAAGGTTCAAATAAAGTTCATTTCAGCATAGGAAAAGCACCACTGAAAGATGAACAGGAAATGAGAGCATCCCCCAAAATAAGTCGAAAATGTGCTAGCAGGCACACCAGGCCTAAAAAAGAAAAATCTAGTTTTCTTTTCAAAGGAGATGGATCCAAACCTTTAGAGCCAGCCAAGCAAGCCATGTCTCCTAGTGTGGCTGAATGTGCCAGAGCCGTCTTTGCCTCCTTTCTATGGCACGAAGGCATAGTACATGATGCAATGGCTTGTTCTTCTTTCCTAAAATTTAATCCTGAACTTTCCAAAGAACATGCTCCTATAAGAAGTAGTTTAAATAGCCAGCAGCCTACAGAGGAAAAAGAAACCAAGTTAAAAAATAGACACTCATTGGAAATATCATCTGCACTAAATATGTTTAATATTGCACCTCATGGACCAGATATATCTAAGATGGGTAGCATCAACAAAAATAAGGTGCTGTCTATGCTTAAGGAACCACCTCTGCATGAAAAATGTGAGGATGGGAAAACCGAAGCCACTTTTGAAATGTCCATGCATCACACAATGAAATCTAAATCTCCTCTTCCCTTAACTTTACAACATTTAGTGGCTTTTTGGGAGGACATCTCTTTGGCTACTATCAAGGCTGCTTCCCAGAATATGATTTTTCCAAGTCCTGGTTCCTGTGCAGTCCTTAAAAAGAAAGAATGTGAGAAAGAGAATAAGAAGGCCAAAAAGGAAAAAAAGAAAAAAGAAAAGACAGAAGTTAGGCCCAGGGGTAATTTGTTTGGTGAAATGGCCCAGCTGGCAGTAGGAGGACCAGAGAAAGATACCATCTGTGAGCTGTGTGGAGAATCACATCCATACCCAGTGACCTATCACATGAGACAAGCTCACCCAGGTAAATGGTACTGTTTAATGTGCATGTAAGTTTTATTTTTTTAAATGAACTAAGTCACTTACAACTTGAGCAGCTCTAGTATAGGGAAACTGTTGCCTAGAATTTATAGTATTTTATAACGTTATTTTTAAAGTGCACTGTCTGTATAGGTTTTGTGAAAAACAGGAAAAGAAATTCTAGTATAGTCAGGGAATTAATAAATAATTAATATTATTAAAACATTTCATTTTAATGTAGCACATTTTGAAATATTGTTTATTTTTTAAAATATTTTATGTATTACCCAGAGGATGCTGTTAAGGTGTCTCACACAATAGAAATAGTGGCATGTCCATAAATCCAGGGCAGATGCCAATATTAGGTCTTCCTTGATTTTAGTGTTTTCTTGTTCAAAATTGTAAATTAAATTAGATTATACTGATTCCTTTGGGCATTTTCTTTTTTTTTTTTTCCTTTTTGTCTTTTTTACTGACCGGTAACGGGATCGCAACCCTCGGTGTTGTGCCCGTACCGGGGACCGGCAACGGGATCGCAACCCTCAGTGTTGCGCCCGCACCACGCTCAGCCAGTGAGCCGCCGGTCTGTATGTGGGATCCGAACTCTCCAGTGCGCCACCAGGCCGGCCCCTTTTGGGCATTTTCTTGTTACCAATAGTTTTATCAGAAGACTGCATTTTAGGTAAACATAGGATTTCTCTAACGTTGGTTAATATTCCAAAATTCAACTAATACAAGTTTGGTTAATTTTTTTTCTCCCTCTACATATTACACCTCAAATGGTTTGTAAGTATATGTTTTCTGAAAATATATTCATACGCAGCGCATTTTAGGTAAACATAGGATTTCTCTAACGTTGGTTAATATTCCAAAATTCAACTAATACAAGTTTGGTTAATTTTTTTTCTCCCTACATATTACACCTCAAATGGTTTGTAAGTATATGTTTTCTGAAAATATATTCATACGCAGTATTTATGCTCGTTTCATTTAATTTTATTGACATACCTAAGTAAATCAAAATGTACCTGCATCCTATATTTCTTTTAATCTGCCTGTGTAGAAATAGAGTGTCTCTAATATTAGGGCATCATTTAATTGATCGCTTTTTGTTCAAGCATACTATTTTTCAGATATAGTTAATAGCCCGAAAAAAAATCAAATACTTGCCTTAATATTTTGCTTACTTTGAAAAGCTGAATCTGTCATTGTTGGATAAGTAGTGAGCATCAAACTATTAAGGACATTTAAAGTGTTAAATATTTATTTTTGTTATTGTTTCAAGGTTGTGGCCGGTATGCTGGTGGACAAGGTTACAATAGCATTGGGCATTTTTGTGGAGGATGGGCTGGTAACTGCGGTGATGGTGGCATAGGAGGAAGTACTTGGTATCTAGTATGTGATCGCTGTAGAGAAAAATACCTCCGTGAAAAACAGGCCGCTGCAAGGGAGAAGGTATTTCTGTTCCATTCCGAGCTATACTGTTAATGATATGGATACACCTTATAAAAATCTCTTCTTATTATCACATTATTACATCAGGTAATTCCACATAGTTGATATTTAAGTATCAGCTTTTATAACGGAAATAAAATACAAATTTAAAATCTGTTCTAGGTCAGCTGTTTTTAATTAAAAAAATAAATTATATCTTGGGACAGGACTTTGGTACACACCTTATTGACAGATGTCTGTTGTGTAATTCTTTATCATTAATTGTCTGTTACTTTGCATATATACATATCTTTCATTCTTTACCTTTCTCTCTCTTTACTCTTTCTCTTTTTCTGCTCCTGTTTTTTCCCCCCATTCTTTATCTCCTCTCTCTCTTCTTTAATCCCTAATTATATTGTAGGACTCATGGAAACCAAAGATCATTCACACTAACTACACTCAAGATCATTCACCTAACTAAAAAATTTGCTGAACACACACACCCACAGATTATTTACTCTTTTTTTTAAAGAATAATAATTTAGATTTAACTGGTTAGGTTTTGAATTTTCCCAAGGAAAGAGAAGAAATACAATTTGTGTAATATATAAAATAGTTCCAATCAGTTCAGGAAAAGCATGAAGTGAATGTTGTTTTTGGTAATCACTACCATATTTTCAAGTAGTTCTACAAGTATTTAATAATTTTTCTTAGAAACCCAAAATATTTACCTTAAGAAATTAAATTTTTTAATATAAGTATGAAAAGATTACTGTAATTTTTCTTTGCCAGGTCAAACAGTCTAGGAGAAAGCCAATGCAAGTCAAGACTCCTCGTGCCTTGCCCACAATGGAAGCGCACCAGGTGATTAAAGCCAACGCACTCTTCCTGCTGTCCCTAAGCAGTGCAGCAGAACCAAGCATTCTTTGTTACCATCCTGCAAAGCCATTTCAATCGCAGCTGCCCAGTGTGAAAGAGGGCATTTCTGAGGATCTTCCCGTGAAAATGCCTTGTCTCTACTTACAAACATTAGCTAGGTAATAAAACTTTGTTGTTTTTCCATCACCTTTGAATTAACAGCTACCCTGATTAACAGATATCATAAGGTAGTTCGGTATTTGCTCCAAATATTCACACTACATCAGATATTGTGTAGAACAAAGAAAACTAGGAATTTATTTTTTGAGTTGCTTTGACCAACATGTTACTAGTAAGGTACACACTCTATGGTTTAAAAAAAACCCATGAAAATACTTGGTCAATTTGTATTATTCTTATTACAAAATATATCTTAGAAAGTAAGACTGTAGCTATTTTTTACTCTTTCGTAGACTGACTTCAGTCTGTTAATAGTGGGAAGTGCTGAAATGGAAAGAAACCGATGTTTCCCATAAAAGTCATTTTTTTAAATTATTTATTCTCTTAGCATTTAAATGATTACCAGTTGTGTACCAGCTTTGTGCTAGGCCCCGAAGACGCCAAGGTGAATACAATAAAATCCTGGCTTCCATGTGCTCAAACTGTGGTGGGAAGACAGACATGTCAGTGAGACATTAAAAATGTCATGTGAGGAATAGCATAATAGACTTAGAAGTATGTGTAGGATGCTGTTAGAGCATAAAAGATGGAGAATCTTCCCAAGGAAATCAGGGAAGACTCCCCAGAGGGTCTGACCCATCAGCAGAGTATTAGAGGATAAATAGGAATCCATCAGGCAGATGGGGAGGGAAACGATTCCTGGCACAGTAACCCAGGTGAGTGAAGACACAAGTGAAACGTCATTACACATTTGAGGAATCACAGGGTTGTTAAGCATTGGCTACTGGGGGAAATATGTGAAATGCTGCTTGAAGAGGTTACCCAGGTAATGTGGTGCTCTGTAGCCCTGCTATAGTTGGGTTTTATCCCATAGGCAGAGTAAACAATGGAAAAATTTTAAACAGGGAAATATATGAACTGATTTGCAATTAAAAGGTCAGTCTGTGGAATGTGGAAACTAATGTGGAAACTAGATAAAAGGGCAAAACTAAAGATGGAGAGAAGCCTGTTATAGTATCTGACTTCGATGGTGGAACTTATACTTTCATATATTATATTCTGATACTCAAAAGCAGTCTTTCATATACCAAATTTAAATTTTTTTTCATTGGTTGACAAATGAAGATTTCTAGATATTGACTGCTGGCCTGGTTTGCCCACCAACAGTTCCATTTCAGATAGTATCATCCTCTATGCATAGCAAAGTTGCATAGTTCTTAAAAATTTTGTACTTACTATTGTAGTAAAATGAATTAGAAACAAAAATGAAAATGTTAGACTAAGTATTTTTGAGACCAAGGTGGAAATCATCAGGCCTACCAAATGGTACAAATCTTTAGCTTTGATCAGTCTACTCAGTAGACTTAGGTTAGCAACTTTTCGTTCTAGTTTGAAAAAGAAAGAATCAAGTTGTAAAACATGTAAAAAATGCTAGTGTAGCATAATTATAGATTTTCTGTTTTTAGCTCTCTAGGAATGGACACCATCCTAACTCATAGAACATTTCATATGTCCAGTATTTTTCAGATTTGACTCATATATGTTTCTACCCAAAAAGTGACTACCTGTATTTCAGTAGTCCATGCAAGAAATAGAATGAGTCTGAACCATGGCAGTGAAGATGGGGAAAGAGAAGACAGAATGGCTGTGAGAGGAAACCTAGTATCATAGGCCTGAGTTACTGGTGATGGTGGAGGGCTAAGCCTACTGTGACATTGAAATGTTTTATCTTAAACACCCGGATATTCACCAAAACATTGAAAAATGGAAAAGTTCTCAGAAGGAAAGAAAATGAATTTAATTTTGGATTTGAAATGTTTGTGGTCCCTGAAATATCTATGTGTAAAATTATCAGACTTTTATTTCTGCCTACCTACACGTGATTATTTTAATACTTCACTTTTATTATAGATTTGCATGTGCTGCTTTTCCTTTTATGAAGGAGATTAAAAATGGAGAGGATCTATATTGTCATCATACTTTAAGTTATTGGGTTTGATTTAATGCAGGCATCATCATGAAAATTTTGTGGGCTATCAAGATGACAACCTATTCCAGGATGAAATGAGATATCTACGTTCAACATCTGTACCTGCCCCATACATATCAGTAACTCCTGATGCGAGTCCTAATGTATTTGAGGAGCCAGAGAGCAATATGAAGTCTATGCCACCAAGGTATTTTAGTTCTCTCCTCTCCTGTTTAGTGGTTGCTGGAAGAAAGACTTTGAACTAGGAAAGAATGCTCTAGAAGTTCTTTAGTACATTCTTCTGTCTCAGGAAGGACATTGAGTCAGCTCTGCTAACTGCTGGAGCAGTAAGAAAAAGCTACTTATATGAATAAGGCAAGGTCCATGATGAGAGAGGCAGACTAGCTGGGAGAAAACATCAACTAATGAAAAGACTGCATTATGTATTATATCATTTAGTGCTGTAGTAAATCAGAGTAGGGAAAGGTTACTTTGAAAATTAGAGGTTCCATGGGAGAAGTGACATCGAAAAAAAATCTTAAACTTCTTGGATTATTGCTTACAATGCCTCCTTAGTTAGATATGGTAGTATCAGAGTAAAGAGCTTTTTTGAAAACTGAATAGAAGCATGTAAATATAATGTACAAAGTAACAGAATACCACTGAATCGTTTTTAGAGGAGAAATGAAGTGATAAAAATGCAAAGATAGTCTTACAGTGTCAATTGAGAAGCTGAAAAATTTAGTCAAAGATTTCAGCTATGTGTGTGGAATTGGATTATATTGGCAATGATTATGCAAAAAGATGTGAACAAAGGAGATATTTTATAGGAAAAATCAGTGTAACTTGTAGACTAACTGAATAATAAAGAAGATAAGTTTAAGATGACATCAAGATTTCAGGCATGGGGGCCGGCCCGGTGGCGCACTGCTACAGTGCGCCGCTTGGGAGCGCGGTGGCGCTCTCACCGAGGGTTCGGATCCCACGTACAGACCGGTTTCCGCTCACTGGCTGAGCGAGGTGTGGGAGCAACACCGAGGGTTGCGATCCCGTTGCCAGTCCCAGTCCGGTACGGGCGCAACACTGAGGGTTGCGATCCGTTGCTGGACACGAAAAAAGACAAAAAAAGGAAAAGAAAAAAAAAAGATTTCAGGCATGAATAACTATGAACATAATACCATTGGAAAGGAAGACATTTGCTGAAAGAAGAGAGAATGTGCTTATTAAAATATGCCACTGTGTTGATACTATACAGTTTAATTATAAAGCAGTATAATAGATTCTTTAGTAAGTATAATAGAACTTATATATCCAAATGAGTATTTTTCTATTAAAAATAACTGTAGGGCCGGCCCGGTGGCGCACTGCTATAGTGCGCCGCTTGGGACGCGCTCCCGCCGAGGGTTCGGATCCCACATACAGACCGGTTCCTGCTCACTGGCTGAGCGAGGCGCGGGAGCAACACCGAGGGTTGCGATCCCGTTGCTGGTCCCGGTCCAGTACGGGGGCGACACTGAGGGTTGCGATCCGTTGCCGGACATGGAAAAAAAAGACAAAAAGGAAAATAAATAAATAAATAAATAAAAATAACTGCAACTCTCCCCACCACCCCCAACTTTGTGGATTACTCATCAAAGACTTTCTGGAACTGCTCTTGACATTTTTCTCCAAGGAGTACAGTATAGCCTTTTAAGTCTTTAAAGGTAATAAAGGGTCTCTAAAGGCAGGCTTTTAAAAAAGAGTTAGAAATCATTTTGAGACTAGTCTGATAAGTGTGATTCCTTGGGTTATTATTACCCTTTCTGAGCAAAATCAAGTAGAACAAACTTCTAGCTAAAGATAGTGAAAGGAAGCTGTATCAGAGAGTTGCCCATCCCAAGTACCCAATGTATTAAAAAAAAAAAAAAAAAACAGTAAAAACCAAGAAAAATATTTACCAGCTCCAACTATATAAGTTGCCATAAATTTCTAAAAGTGGTGGCTGTGAAAAGAAACAGAAGATTCTGATATCCTTCTGCATACTACTAAAACCATACTAAGAAATCAAACGCCTTTCAGATTAGAGAAAAGTAGATAAAAGGAGATGAATTGAAATCCCGGAAAAAGTAAAGGTAGAATCCTTTAGTGTAGAAGCCTCTAGTATTATCATTAGAACCACAGCAGAAATTAGAAATTTTCTAAGGAATCCTATTTTTCACAGCTGTATGCCAAATTAGAGCAATAATCTAAAGTCCCAGAGAATGTGACCACAGAAATGGGATATACACCCGACTAGGTAGAATGATCCCTGGTATGGAATATTAAGTAAAGTCTCAAGTTATCTCTCAGAGGAGGATAAAACAGGTGGCAAATATGATGGGAAAAGAAATCTAGGGAAATCTCCCCAAATTTTATCAGAACAGAGGAACTAAACAGAGCTATCTACTTCAAACATTATCAAAATCAAAATGGTGTATCATACAGAAGTCAGATGAAAAAAACAATCTGGAAGAAAACTCATCTCAAGGAAAAAAAGAAAATCCCTGTATTTACTCTGTAGTATTAAAAAACTTGATAATGGCATAAATTTAATAAAAGCTCATATGTGAGACTGAGATAATAAGCATAATGGAGTAAAAAGCTACATTACGGAGCTGCGAGGACAGACTGAACAGCAAATCAACACCATTGTAAAACTAATAAATTAATTAGAAATGTTTAGAGCACTAAATTGAATTATCAGTGGAAAAGTTTGAAATAATCACAGTGAATAAAGAGAAAAAGGACCTATAGGAATCAGAACAAAGATAACAGGTACGAAAAACATAATCTAACATAAGAATAACTGATATCTTTCAAGTAGAAAAAACAACAAATATAACAGAAAGTTTTTCTAAAGCTGTAATATAAAGAAAAATTCCCCCAAATAAAAAACTACTGAATTTACAGATTAAAAGGGAAATTTTACAACAGATGACTGGAAGAAATAAGGTATTGAAACTTCCAGAAAAAAAAAAGAAAACTTTTCAAGTATCTGAGTGGAGAAAAGCAAGTCATCTTGCAAAAGGAAAATTAATCTGAATTCAGACTTCTGTATAACAACTTTGAATGAAAGGAAAAAATGAAACAAGCTCCAAAAGAAAGCAAATATTACCTTAGAAGTTTTACACAATATCTGTCAGACATACTCAAATACCAAAGATCTTAAGAACAGTAGCACATGTGTGACCATACTGGACTTTTTTAAAAAGCACTGCTCTACCACAGAATTCATGATTGATTATGGGTTAATCAAATGAATCAAATAGTTAGTGAAAAGCACCTATAAAAGACTATACAGTATATAGTGAAAATATAATGATACCGGAACACATAAGTGTAATGTTCACAAAATCCTAAAGAAAAAGAAACTATGACCCAAGTATTTTATATTTATCCAGGTTGAGACATTCTCAAACATACCATAATTCAAGGAGTATAGTGTCTTTGAGCTATTCTTGAAAAACATCTTGACAAACTCAAGCTATTATAAAAGGTAATGAATAATGATTTCATTAAATCAGTGATTCTCAACCAGGGATGATCTTTGCTTCCCAGCAGACATCTGGCAATATGTTTGAAAGCATTTTTGACAAAACTGTGCTTGTTCAACTAGCCTCCTAGTGGGTAGAGGCCAAGAGTGTTGCTAAACATCCTACAGAACGCACAAAAGCCCCCAAAGCAAGGAATTATGTGGCCCAACCTAGGTGAGGTTGAATTAATGATGATCATCTTTGCTTTCTTCTTTGGGTTTTCTTGTGTTGCTTAAATTTTTTCACAAGCATTATCATTTTCATAAGAACAGGTCTTTTTTTAATTGTGTAATGATTTTTTTTTTATGAGTTGGTAGAAGTTTCCTTTGAAAGCAGAACAAACGTCTGTAGTTATAGTCACACTGTATGTAAAGTGAATTAAGCTAATATATTCTTATACTCTAGTCATTCTAGAACCAAACAGCCCAAAGTTACATTTAGGCAGATTTACCCCAGGTAGTTATGTACAACATTTATGGTCTATTCACACAAGAGTACAAGAGTGTACATAAGCTTAGGGAAGTGGTGAATGAACACACACACACACACACACACACGAAGTTAGCCACTTATTAAAAATATGTAAGCTTTACTCTGGGATGCAGGATTTCAAACCTGACTTGAATGATGGGGAAAAAGCAACTCCAGAACCCAAGCTGATAAAAAATGCCCCAATTTGGAATGAAGTGACAGAAAAGAGAACACATGAAAAGAATAGTTTGTAAATTTGTCTCAGAGAAATAAGAAAGGGAAGATATTTCTCTTTTTTATAAAATGTCTCATGAAAGGAAATTATAAATCCATCCTAATAACTTTGTAAGTGTATTTTAATGTTGCTATAGTAAATAGAAAAGTTATTAGTTTACATAAGTCTGGATGAAAATCATTGAATTCTTGTATAGAATATAAGTATAACAACGCTAATGTCAAAAACCAGTTTTTTACTTCTCATTACACTTCATTGTGGCCATGTGCTAAAAAGGGCTTTGGGCAGCACTTCCCAGGAGTGAGAAACCTAATAGAACACTGAAGCATCAAAAGAAAAGTCAACCAAGTTTCACTTTCTGTTTTATTAGTTTTCCACATGTACACATCCATTTTCTTTTTGTTTGTCATACTTATGATTATATCTGCCTCTTTTTCCTGAATATCATGAAACATGAGTTCTACCTTAATACCTTTGGTTCTAAAAGGAGTTTAGAACACTTGATGTCTTCTTTTTATTTAAAATGCAAAGAAGATTTAAGAAAACCACAAGTTTTAAGATATAGTTCAGAAGTCAATCAAAATGTTACTGCATTTGAAAAGTTGGCTTTGAGTTTGTTTCTCCACATGAAATATAGATTCAGATATTAAGACTATTATAAAATCACTATAGTTACACTTCATTCACTTTTTCTCCTAAATTTCTATCATCTTGTTCTACCTGCAGTTTGGAAACCAGTCCCATAACTGATACTGATCTCGCAAAGAGAACTGTCTTCCAAAGATCATACTCAGTTGTTGCTTCTGAATATGATAAACAACACTCCATTTTACCTGCACGAGTTAAAGCCATTCCTAGAAGAAGAGTTAACAGTGGAGACACTGGTAAGTATAAAGATAAAAAGGAAGATTGAGTGATCTAACTACTAGAAATAAAGGAAAATGGTTTTATTTGCAAATAATTTTTAAAATCTAATTTTTGGAGGGAAAAGAATGTATTAATTTCTAATTTATGATAGTTATTCCTTGACAAAGCCATAAACATTCCTTTCTAAACTTTGCATCTTGGTTGAGGAGATATGCAGAGATCATTCAGTGATTGTTCAAGAATGAATAGACCTTTTCAATCTTGTTATGTTTCTAAGCCAAATATAGCTACCATTATCCCTTCCACTAAACTTCACTGAAGTTATGAACCAGTAGTTGAGACTTATACATTCACAGTTATCTTTCCATTCCGAATAGAACCTTAACTCTTGCAGCTGCTGTCACTCTGAATAGGAAATAAAACTTTGGGGATATGAGTAGTCCATAATCAGTAAAAAAGTTATGTAATCTGGGCCAATTGATATCAACATCCTCAAATTGGGGTTGGGGATTCCACCTCAAGAATAATGGAAGAGGGCTGGCCACTTAGCTCAGTAAGTTAGCATATGGTATTATAACACCAAGGTCAAGGGTTCAGATCCCCGTACAGGCCGGCTGCCAAAAAAAAAAAAGAAAAACAACAACAAAACAAGATAATAAAAGAAACCCAAAAGGATGATATGGTGATGACTTGCCAGGTAAACCACTTACTAAAATGAACATTTGGCCTAAAAATTACAGGTAAATGCTTATATATCTTATTGTTGAAGATCTTAAGCATCTTAAACTTAAAATATTGGGCCGGCCCGGTGGCGCACTGGATAGTGCGCCGCTTGGGAAGCGCGGCGGCGCTCCCGTCCGAGGGTTCGGATCCCACATACAGACC